AGAACAAATAAAATGAGCACAGCAGCATCTTTTAAGTGTGCGTGGAATTGCTTGGGAATTTAGCTATTTCAGGAGTGAACAGTCCAGAAATAGTTGCTTTCAATCTGATATGCCAAAAATTGAGTAATTTTCTCGAACATATGTTTTAGAAATTTCTGGGGGAAATAGTGTGCAAGCAATAACTTACATGAAGGATGTATTCAGTATATACAATATGAAAAAACAGCTGATCATTATTTCTGGTACCTAAAAAAAAAACTGTTTGCTTTTGCTATTTGTTCTTTTGAAAAATGAATTCTTCAGCATTTATTCAGGAGTTTAGAGCATTTAGACATAGAAAAGACCTTTAGGAGTCACCTGTGCATAATTCTGACTCTGGTTCCAGGGACTCCAAAAATGATTTGATTCTGACTTTCTGTTTTAAAGACCAATGATAAACATATTATGGACTGCCTCCATTACTCTGAAGCCAGTGTTTCAAAGTTTCCTCCACTTTGATGGCAGGCATATTTTTGCCAAAGTCAAATTCAGAGACAGTTCATGATACTTCATTTCCTAATATAATTGTGTTTTCTTAATCCCCTAGCAATTGCTCATCTTTGCTCAAGTTTGTGTAGATGTGTCCAAGCCTTTTCCACAGCCCCGTGGTTAGGACTGAGTAATGGAGATAGTTTACAGCTTAGCCATCCTCTTGAATGGCTGTCTCCTTTCTCTTGTAGTTTAGTCATTATGTAGCTCCTGAATCGTTTCCAGCTAGAAGGAAGTATGAAAACTAATTTGCCTTTTACAACCATATTTTCATGCTGATGTATTTGTTTGCATTACTGTTGTCCACTAAGAACTAGCTAGATAATAGGTACTTGCTATAGAAGGGATGATTTAAGTACTTCAGAATGTTTCTGTTACGATGAGGTAACAATTTTCTTGACTGGGAACTTGTAAAATTCAAGTGTGTGGTGGTAAGTATCCTCTGAAATGGTTCTGCTTTTATCCTGTGTCCTGTTTTGCCACTGAAGTGTATCACCTGCAGGTCCCAGTCTGGGTAAGAACAGACAATAGTGTGGTACTAGTTAGAAGTGAGCAACAGAACGTTTATATGCTCAGATACCACCTATCAGAGCTATTTCCTAGTAGTCATTCACTTGCATGATTCTTGGGGCTAGCTTTGTGGTACAGCAAGCTAAACTGTCACCTGCAGGGCCTGATGGCATCCTATATGGAAGTTCTGGTTCAAGTCCATGCTGCTCAACTTCTGATCTAGGCCTGTGCTGATGTGCCTGGGAAGGCAGCAGAAGATAGCCCACGTATTTGGGGCCCTGTCACCCAAATGGGAGACTCAAATGGAGTTCCAGGCTCCTGGCTTCAGCCTAGACCAGCCTCAGCCTTTGGGATCATTTTGGCATTGAACCAATGGAGTGAACTTCCTACCCGCCCCCACTCTTCCCTTCAAATAAAAACAAATTAATTAACTAAATAAATAAATAAAAATATTTTAAATGGTCTGTTTCCTTTTATGTAACATAATGATTAAGCATATGGGCTAAGTTCTGATTCCAGATCCCTGATTCACCAGCTGTGTGCTTTGGACAATGCTACTTAACCTTTCCAAACTCCATCTCTTCCCCATGATTGTGAACCAGAAATGATAACAGTACCTACTCATAGATTTGTGATGAAGATTAAATGAATTATTACCTGAACAGCATACTAGATAGTGCCTGTTACATAATAAATGGTCATTAAGTATTGGGCATGATTGAAAACTATTTTATTTGTGAAATTTACTTACTACTAAGGGACATACTTATGCTACTTGGACTGTGGAAAGGAAAGTGAGCACCATGTCCTGCATCTGATAAAGTATTTATTACCATGTATTTATTTGTAAAACTGATCTGACTGTGCTTAAATTCCAACATCATAGTGTGTCATTGTAAGCACCAGTTACATGGGGCCATAAATTAAAATGGCCTAATTTTTCTTTATATCTCAATTTCAAATCAACATAGCTTTCATTTACTACATAAATAGGTTAAAAATTTTCCAGTTGGGAAATATAGCAATGATGAGAATAATTGAATATGTATTTTAAATGTCATTTTTCTATCTGTTAAAAAGTTCTCTCTATAAAATTGTTTCTGTCATCAGAAACATTAAAATTTATACCTGAATCTGCTGTGGCTTCTTTATGCAGTGTGAAATACTCTAATAATACTATTACTATTTTACTAAAATTTACATTCTAAATTGTACTACAATTGCATAATGTATAAAAACCTGCTTAAAATTATACAGAAAAATCTTGGAATGGTTTAGCATAATTTCATATTTTAATGAAACAAAAAATATTTGTGTTAAAGGAATTTGTGGACCTTGCTATTATGTCCAATGTATTTTCAAATTGAATTGTGTTTTTGTTGGCTAATGTGCCATGTGCCAGCAACTGTGTCAAGTGCTGAGCTAACAAATGTGAATAGAACATAATTTCATAGGAGTATGAAGATAAGAGGAAATAAACAGTAAGTGTATTAACAGCTATGTCTCAGGAATACAAAGGGTGTTAGGAAAGTACAGAGCACAAAACAAAATAGCCCTGGGAGGAGTGGCAGTAGAGGGCAAAGGATGCAGAAAGTCCTCGTGAGTTAAGGAGCTTGAACCAAGAGTTTGAGGAAGATTGAGACAAAGGAAAATCTTGAAAAAATACATGATGGCCTTCCAGGCAGAGGAAACCAGGTGTAGCAAGGCTGCGAGGCAAGAGAAAAGGACACTTTGAGGGACCAACAAAATGGTCATAATGGTGCAAGTGAAGAAAGCACTGGAGAGCATGGCACAAATTGAGGCCAAAAATCACAGAGGCACCAGCCCCTGATGATCCTTGTAAGACTGTCAAGGGTTTTGAAAAAAAATTTTTGAGGAAAGGAGAAAATGCTGAAGACATGAGAGAACCATGAAAAGGCTTTCAAGCAAGGTTTTATTTTTATACTTACGTTGTAGAAAATTCTGGCACCCGAGTTCGAAATAGATTGGAAGAGAGAGCCTGATTCAAGAGGGGAAGCCACTTAGAAGACCATTGTGGAGGAGCATATTGTGAGTGAAGGCAGTGCATGAGAGAGTGGAAAGGAGAATTATTTAGAAGATGAAATTGAAAGGACTTCCCGACTCTTGTCAGTCCAAGTCCCAGAAGTGGAGCTTCCCAGGCTGAGGATGGCAGTGCTGCCCTCTGCTGAGAGGGGGGGGAGAGAAGGAGAGGCAGCCTCATCCTGTGTTAACTTCCACACGTGCAGCCTCCCGCTTGTCTGGCCTTTCCTAGTCAAGGGGACCAGCTGACTGTTAGAAAATCAGATTTAAAATTCTTAGAAGTATAACTGGGAAGTAAACAGCTGAGAAGTCAGCCTCTAAGTTTTTTTTTTTTCCCCCCCGACAGGCAGAGTTAGAGAGAGAGAAAGGTCTTCTTTTTTCCAGATGGCCACTGCGGCCGGTGTGCTGCGCTGATCCGAAGCCAGGAGCCAGGTGCTTCCTCCTGGTCTCCCATGCAGGTGCAGGGACCCAAGGACTTGGGCCATCTTCCACTGCCTTCCCGGGCCACAGCAGAGAGCTGGACTGGAAGAGGAGCAGCCGGGACAGAATCCAGTGCCCTAACCAGGACTAGAACCCCATGTGCCAGTGCTGCAGGTGAAGAATTAGCCAAGTGAGCCGTGGCACCGGCCAGCCTCAAAAATTCTTAACCATGATCACAAATACGGTCCTATAGTTAGTACGTGGTAGAGGATGTGGTCTAAATAAAAATAAAGAAAAGAAGTAAAAGCTAAAAATGGAGATCTTGTTAAATACCGATATATATAGTGTCAGAAAAGTGGACGCTCCAAAATGTTCTTCAGAGGTAGTGGTGAGAAAGTCACAGTGCAAAAGAAATGCTTGGCAACTAAGGGACAAGAGGGGTAACGCAGAGAGACCTTAGTACATGCGTGGGAGACTTCTGAAAACATGCACACCAAATTGTCTGGAGTAGCCAGCTCTGGGAAGCAGAGTCCAAGAGAATAGCTAAATAATGGAATTTTCATTTGCTATTTGAATTTTTCAGAGAAAGTGTTATTGTATCTGTGTTATCGTTGTAACGTCTCATGAGGGTTTGGAATTAACAAGTGAAAAAAAGTCATCTTAAAAAATAAGTTATAGTCTATGGAAAATGAAAAATAAATCAACCCAATAAGCTTAATCAGAAGAGAAAAAGGAGAGAAAGGGCAACATGGAGTGGTCAACAATGTCATACTGTAGATAGGTCAAAAAAGATAAGGGTTGACAGGAGCCTTTTAGCTTGGTATTTAGATTTGGTCACAAATGACCTTATTAAAAGCAGCTTCACCGAAAGGCTAAGGGCAGAAGCCTGACCGCAGTTGTGGGAAATGCAAAGTGAGGGTATGAAAAGGTGGCATAGATATCTGGTAACAGAGAAGCTGGAGTGAAGGAAGAGAAAGCTGTTAGGTAGGGATTTGGGGCCCAAGGTGAGCAAACTGCTCGCGATCTGCCTGGTGCTCAAGAGATCCATGCAAACCAGCAAGCCGATTCAATGAGGACTGTGAAAGAGCGTGAGTAGTTCCCTTGCCAGCCCCAGTGACTGCAGATGCCAGCTCCTCTGAGACAGGGGCCAGCAGGAAGTTTTATAAGGAGTTGATGAAGCCATTCAGCAAGGTTTCTTGGGAGCAAAGAGACCTGAACTTGTTTGTGTGCTGGAGGTGGGTACCAGTCAAGGACGAAAGCCCGAGAGCTCAGTAACAAGTTGAGTTTCTTATTAAAGGAATGCACCTTTAATTTGGAAAATAAGTCTAGCTATTCCTGAATGTGAAGTTTCATACAAAGTACAGTATTCACCATGTTCCAAAGGCTGTGCTCATCAGTATTTAATCACAATCAGTTTTAACCACAGTCATGATAGAAAAAAGTCCCATAAGACAGTTCTCAATAAACTAGTAAATTTCTTCTCTCTTCTTCTTCCTCTAAAGCCGAACAACAACTTACCCTTACACAGAAACCCAGATGTACAGCCAGAACACTGGAGGGAATTACTTTGACACTCAAGGGAGTTCCGCACAGGTGACTACCGTGGTCTCGTCCCACAGCATGGTGGGCACTGGTGGGATTCAGATGGGCGTCACAGGAGGACAACTCATCAGCAGCTCCGGAGGAACCTATCTGATTGGCAATTCTATGGAGAATTCTGGTCACTCAGTGACACACACAACGCGGGCCTCCCCAGCGACAGTAAGTGTTTGAGTTTCTCTGTGTTCAGTGTAGCTTTGTGGGAGCCTCCATTGTCCATTTTCCTCTGAGGCTGAATGGGGCAAGACTGTGTTCGGCAGTTTCAGTGTTGGGAGGAATGCAGATTATAGTATGTGAAGTTAGCAGGCAGAATGTTACACACATGTTGCATTCCCAGTTAAGTAAATTGGAAGGTTTCAATTACAAAGGTGATTTTTACTCATTGAGCTGAGTATAATAGACGTTCTTCAATGATAGTAATACTTTAAACTTCTGCTGAAAGAATTTATTTTTATATTATGCTCACTTTGTAAAACTAAAAACCAAGCAGCAAAATATAATTTTGGGTTTTTCATTTCTTTATATAGTGTTAATTATGCTAGCTCATTATCAGAGAAGTTACATTATAGAAGTCAGCATTTCACAACCTTAGATATTTAAGTTTGGCCATATTTGCATGCTGCCTGTACTGTTCTTATTTAACTTATTTTTCAAATGGACTAATTTTAAGATAGGAAACCACATATATTTTTTTCTGATATACATAGGAATCAATACTTAAATTGAAAAATAAAAAATATTTATTTCTGTACCATGTATGAAGTCCTGTTGCATTCTACTAGAGATATACTTTAGGTAGCACTAATATAGATGAAAATACATTTAGATAGACTGTTAGCATAGTTATAAGCAAATAATATCTTTTTTTAAGATTTCTTTTTATTTGAAAGGCTGAGTTAGAGAGGCAGAGGCAGAGAGAGAGGTCTTCCATCCACTGATTCACTCCCCAAATGGCCACAACAGGTAGAGCTGGGCCTATCCGAAGCCAGAAGCTTCTTCCAGGTCTCGTACGTGGGTGCAGAGGCCCAAGCACTTGGGCCATCTTCTACTGCTTTCCCTGGTCCTAGCAGAGAGCTGAATCAGAAGTGGAGAACTAACACCCATATGGGATGCCAGCACTGCAGGAGACAGCTTTACCTACTATGCCATAGCACCAGCCCCAAGCAAATACTATTTTAGAGACACTTGTATAATTGAGTTTTTAGCTTTAAAAGTTTAATAAGTATATTTATTCTAACATAATAAACTCAAATATGTTGGAATTAGGTCATAGAAATAATCATAGAAAGCTGTATAGAGTTTGATATCATCAAACTCTGTAACCTAAACCTCCCTTTTTTCACTTCAACTTAGCATATAAGAAAACACGATCATTTAGAACTGCATAGCACAAGTAGCACAGGAATTGACTACTTGATGCTTCATATTAAAGGGACCTGAGGATTTGAATAAAGTTGATGCACTCCTTTTCCACCATCTTGCCATGTAGTTTATTCTTGGAATGTAATATAGATAGGAATCAATTTGTCAGAAAAGACTAATATGAGAGTTTATATTTCTCATTTTTTGGAATTTCTTCAAGATACTATATACACTTGGTAAGTAGTTTGTATATACTTTGTGTTTTTATAGTGATCACATGTGTTCATGCCTTCATCATTTAGTGCCTTTCCCCTAATATTAGAACATTTTATTTGTAATTCACCATTGTTGTTGTTGGTTGCTTTTTTATTTTTTATTTTCATTTTATTTATTTCTTTCACTAACATCAAAATAAATGACTAGCAGTTCTGAATGGAGTGTTTTCTTTTTTGTGTTTTTGAATCATTTTTTGTGTATTTGTCTTTTTTGTAAGACTAGCAAATACAGTATTTCTAGGCCTTTTAGCCACACCAGTATGTTTATGTGGATTCAAAGCCCAAAGCAATTGCCACTCATAAATTAGAGCTTCTCTGCACCTCAGTTCCCCTATCAATAACATAAAAGCTTTGTTAAGACCAAATGATGTCCTCATTTCCTCCTAGCTTACAAAGCATAACAGTTACAGAGGGATTATAAAATATCCTAGATGTAGAAATGATTTTATCTTTACCACAGAAGGAAAAGAGGGAGGGGGAAAAAAAGTGTTAGTACTTTATAGCTCTCCCAATAATGGCCACCTAGAAAGACATTTTCACCGAAAAGGAAAGTGCCCAGCACTTCCCAAGGCCTTAGGAAAATTGAAGAACACAGAGTGCTTCTCTCCCTCTCTCACACCACCCACGCTCTGGTGCTGACGCATGACCCTTCTGACCCCAGCCCTGTCCTCCCTCAGCTTGCCCAGGCACTCCTGCTCCTCTTCCCTCGGACTTCCAGCTGCCTGTTCAACAGCCTCCTCCACTGGGTTTGGGATGACCAAGTGTCCTTGTTTTGTCACTGAATTAACTAAGTTATGTATTCAAGCTCATATCAGTGCAGTTGCAAACAGGAACAGAATAAACTGCATAGTGTGATTAAAAGCAGTTTTGGTAAAGGACATTGTCATATAGAGGATGAAAGGTGACATTGCCCCTCAAGTTACCTGCCACACAGATTTGATGTGTGATTTTTATTATGTTAGTTGGTAAATTAAACATACAAAATACCTGAATTATAACAACTGGGAATAGTTGAAACCTTTTAAATAAACACTGATATATAAAACTGTACATATTAATTTTTACTTAAAACATTCATATATGTTATTCTGCTAGGGCAAAAATTCATAGTTTTTTTTTCTTTTTCTTTCTTTTTTGCTTTGTTTTTCTACAAGAAAATCTTTTTTTTAATAAAAGAATATACAATAAAAGGATAAGTTTTTACCTGGAAAAATCACAAGGTGCCTTTATCAAAGCCCAGATGATATCTGTGCTAGTGTTTATTGTATTATCTTGCATTTATTTGTCATAACATACATTTAATTTAGATTTCCTCCCTTAGTCATGTGAAGATCTTCATCTGCTTGCATCACAGTGAGGTAGTGATGTTCAGTTTATAATTTCACTTCTGTTACTATAGTAAATTTTACAAAGGCTAATTTCCATGAAACCTTATTTAAAATTTTCTGCTATCTTCCTCTCGCCACATGTTAGAGAATTGGCAGATTTTTGATTGTTTTAATTCCTAGAAGTTACAATTTTTAGTAGGTGTCATGTCATTAAAGAGAATTTGCCTGATTTCATGTGTCATTCTGGTTTGTTATAAAACTTTACTAAAGAATGGATATGTACACAATCTTTGACAACTTCTGGATCAAGTCTCAAACCATTTCTTTCTAAACAGAGACTTACTTGTCTTTATTGTTCAACTTGTAACCTGTATGGTATTGGTTGGTGCAACTGCCTGTATAGGAATAGCCATACTGTGACCAGAATTCCTTATTGGGAAATGCAGTTGGCCCTCTATATCTGTCGTCTCCTTATACAAATACTCAACCAACCTGAGATCAAAAATATTTAAAAAAAGAAATTGCATCTGTAGTACTGAACATGTATAGACTTTTTTTTCTCATCATAATTCCCTAAGCAAAACAGTATAACTATTTATATAGGATTTACATTGCTTTGGGTGTATTATAAATAATCTAGAGATGATTTAAAATTCATGGAAGTGCATAGTTTATGTGCAGATACTGTGCCATTTATAAAAAGGACTTGAGCATTGGTGGATTTCTATCTGTGGGGCTCCTAGAACCAATCCCCATAGATACCAAGGGATGGCTAGTGAGTTGGGCCATTCCTTAAGAGCCTCTAAGTAATAATCAGTTAATTAAATTTATAGGAATTAGTTAAGTTTGAGTATTCCAGATTGCACAAATTGAACATTTTTACTCAGTACATGGGCACAAAAGTTTCCTGCTGTGGTTCTCAGAATAATTGCCTTGGTTCTTTCTTATATTTGACCTGTATATTCACAGAAATACTTCAATATTAATTGGAATAATTTTCTAATACAAAGAAAAGTTTACTGCAACTGAACAGATAAGTTCTTCCAAATATACTATGGAAACAAAGTTAGTGATTTGAAATTGAAGCCACTAAGGAGTAAATTAAATGACTAATACATGAAGTATATTTTTCCTAGTCTTATATTGAATATAAAATCTAGAACTATCTTTCCTATAGTAGAAGGATCTGGATCATCAGCCAAATTTTTAAAGATTTATTTTATTTATTAAAAAGGCAGAGTTACAGGGAGGAGAGACAGAGACAGACACAGAGAGAGAGAGAGAATGAATTAGTCTTCCATCCACTGGTTCACTCCCCAAATGGCTACAATAGCTGGGGCTGGGCCAGGCTGAAGCCAGGAGCCAGGAGCTTCATCCAGGTCTTCCATGTGGGTGCAGGAACCCAAACATTTGGGCCATCTTCCTCTGCTTTTCCAGGTGCATTAGTAGAGAGCTGATTGGAAGGTGGAGCAACTAGGACCATGCAAACCAGTGCCCATATGGGATGCTGGCATTGCAGGTGGAAGCTTAACCCATTACCCCACAGGGCCAGACCCCCCGCCCCCATCAACAGAATTTTTATTTGGGCATATGACTTCTTTTAGTTTTATAATTTAAAAAATGGCATAAAGTTTTAATATTTCATTTTGGCTTCATGCATTGTAAACTCTTTCATTTTTCAAGGCTCATAGAAAATATCACCATTTTTCAGAAGATTATGATGGCAACAAATTAAATTTTAAAGATTCACTTATTTATTTAATTTGAAAGGCAGAGTTACAGATAGATAGGGGTATAGAGACAGATCTTCCATCAACTGGTTCATTCCCCAGAAGGCTGCAATGGCTTTGGCTGGGTTCCAAAGCCGGGGGCTTGCAAATCCATCTGCATCTTCCAATGAGTGGCAGAGGCCCAACTATTAGGGCCATTTTCTGCTGCTTTCCTAGGCCCATTAGCAGGGAGACAGATGGGAAGTGGAGCGGCCGGGACTTCAACCGGCACTTGTGGAATGCCTGCATTGCAGGTGGTGGCCCAACCCGCTGTGTGACAACTCAAGCCCCACAAATTAAATTTCATATGGTGAATATATTTTGAGGAAACTACAAATATTCACATTTGACCAAAATCCTAATTACCCTTTAATTTCCAATATTCTTTTATTTGGTGAATAGAATCCATGTGCTTGTAAATTATGTAT